GAAATTATTATATGAAGGTGAAGTCTATTAATTTGTATTTCAAGGGGTTTTAATTATTTTCTTTTCCTTGTTTACTGTGGATTAAATGATTGTTTCCTCAAATCTCTTTTAATGTATCTGTAACACAGCCGGTACAGGTTATTTAGGAAGTGTAATAGATATATTGTGCGTATACCATTTATGTATCTGCTACATTTTTGTCACTGACAGACAAAATGGCCTTTTTTATGTCTCTTTGAATTCATCAGATGGTGACTAAAGGTTTTCTCCGTGCACATTGAACGGAGCCTTGCACAGTATCTTTTTTTTTTTAAATATTTGTTTATTATGTATACAGTATTCTGCCTGCAAGCCAGAAGAGGGCACCAGACTTCATTACAGATGGTGGGAATTGAACTCAGGACCTTTGGAAGAGCAGGCAATGCTCTTAACCGCTGAACCATCTCTCCAGCCCCCATTGCACAGTATCTTAAGTTCACTCCTTTTGCCTTCTCAAGAGGTGAAGGCAACCTCTTCTCGCTCATCCTGTTGCTTACTGAGTTCTTTCTCTGCCTTGCCTATTCCAAGTTTTCTTTTATATAAGAACTTCCTTCCTGGTAAGAAAACATCTTTTAGCCAGCCACTGAAGGGTAGCTATGCTGGCAATACATGTTCTTAGTAATCATGATCTATCAATGTCAGATTTCCCCTTCATTCCTTATAGGTTTCTTTAAAACTTTTTAAAACTTATTTATTTTGGCCGGGCGGTGGTGGCGCACGCCTTTAATCCCAGCACTCGGGAGGCAGAGACAGGCGGATCTCTGTGAGTTCGAGACCAGCCTGGTCTACAAGAGCTAGTGCCAGGACAGGCTCCAAAACCACAGAGAAACCCTGTCTCGAAAAAAATTAGTTTGTTTTGCCTACATGTATGCTCGTGCACCACATATATGGTTGATTGCCGCAGAGGTCAGAAAAAGATATCAAATTCCTTGGAAGTGGGGTCCTTGGAAGTGGGGTAATGGCTAGTATGATCCACCCCGTCGATGCTAAGGATTAGACCTGGTCTTCTCCACAGATGCTCTAACATTCTAACCCATTTTTCCAGGCCCTGGGGTATAAGATTCTGGGTTGAGAGTTCTTTGCTCTGAAACTTGGTTTCTGAAAAGACATGATCTGTCATTTAAAATGTTTTTCTCTAAAGCTGTTTCCTTGTGGGCTTTCATGGCAACTTTTTTTTCAAGTTTTCAAAAATTTAGTTATGATATACCTCTATATCAAGTTACTTGGATTTATCTTATTTGGAGTTTGCTTGATCTTTTGACTCTTTAGATTCATGTCTCTTGACAAGCTCTTGAAAATTTTTTTAAATATTTATTTATTTATGATGTATACAATATTCTCTCTGTGTGTATGCCTGCAGGCCAGAGAGGGTATCCAGACCTCATTACAGATGGTTGTGAGCCACCATGTGGTTGCTGGGAATTGAACTCAGGACCTTTGGAAGAGCAGGCAATGCTCTTAACCGCTGAGCCATCTCTCCAGCCCGCTCTTGAAATTTTTAAATATTATTTTTTTGAGTACTCGTTAGCCCATATTTGTTTTCTATTTCCAGGACTGAAATGCTATGTGTAATACTTTGTGTCTTGGGTTATAATCAGAGCCTGTGGGTTGAGAGCTTGGTCATCAAACTGACACTATTAGCAAAACATGAAACTTTTAAGAGGGAAGGTCCTGATGGGAGGGTAGGTATTGAGGGTGTGTTTGAAGGGAACATTGGGACTCTAGCTTCTCTGTTCCAGTTCCTTGCTGTCAGTATGTAATATGCTTCCCTGCCACATACTTTTATCATGATCTCCATGTTTTCCTACCTTCCCCAGGCCCAGACTAAATAGCCATAAACAACAGCTTCTGAAGCTATGTCTCCAAATAAAAATTTCATCTTCATAAGATGTTTCATCTCAGCATTCTTTGCAGTGACAGAAGACATGACACTAGTGACCAGTCCGTTGCCTGGGACTCTGCTTAATGTTTCAACCTCCTATCTCTGTTATTCACATTGGACAGCTTCTATTAGTCTTCTAGTCTCTGAGTCTTTTTCTCTGTCTGCTTCATTCTGCTGATGTGCCCAACCACGAAGCACTTATTTTGGGTACTGTACTTTTCTATTATAAAATTTCCATTTAATACTAATTTTTATTACATCTCTGTTCTGTGACTATACTCTTTTGCATTTGTTTCAAGCAGGTCATAATTGCTCACTGGAGCACTTTGCCGTAGCTGCTTAAAATTCTGAATTAGATAATTGTAAGACTTCTGTCGTCCTGGCGTTGACATCTGCACTCATTTCCTAGGGGTGTTATAACAATCTACCACAAACTGGGTGGAAGAAAAGACTAGTAATTGGTTGTTTCTTGTAGTGTCACAAGACAGAATTTTTAAATTGAGATGTCAGCAAGCCCAGGTATCTTCTGAGAGCCACAGCAAACCCTTTGCTGCCCTTCCCAGTTTTTGATGATGTGCTGGAAATATTTGGCTTTTATTGGCTTGCAGCTCAATAGCTCTTTGACTTTGTCGTAGCAGGTGTCTTTGTTGTGTCTCTCCCTCTTTTTTACAATGACTCTAGTTTTGTTTAATTAGCCAACATATTGTCGTAAACAGACATATCTGTAAGGTTTCTACTTCCAAACAAGGACACATCTAAAGTTCTATGAATAATGCAGTTAAGTACATAACAGCATTATACATTGTCTTTTTCACTTCCAGTCTGAACTCTTTCTGGTTCTTCACATAACGGGCAACATAACTTTTTGCCATACTTTGCGTCTCTGTTTTGGTTGCTTTTTCTGAAAATGTTCTGGCAAAGGAAAATGTAAATATTATCTCATTATTGACGAGGGTGGATAAAAATCCCTAAGTGTCTGACACACAAGGAAAGGAGACCACTGCAACTCTTGGGAGGAGACAGGAGTTTTGCTTTCACAGTCTCCATAGCTTATACTGTAGAGATCTTTGCATCCCTGGAATGATCCTATGAGGCCCTCTCTGACACATGCCATTGAGACTGCAAGGGTTTTCTACCATGCCCAGGTAGAAATAGAAATCCATGCTTTCTGCTTGATCTTCCTGTCACCATCCTGATAAATAGGCGACTTGTTTTGTTTTGTTTTTCGAGACAGGGTTTCTCTGTGTAACAGTCCTCGCTGTCCTGGAACTAGCTCTTGTAGACCAGGCTAGCCTCAGACTCACAGAGATTCACCTGCCTCTGCCTTTCAAGGGCTGGAACTAAAGGCATGGTGTCCCTTTTTACATTGCAAGGGTCCATAAAAATACCTATCCTTGTTGGCATGAGTAGAGGTGAGATTATAATTTTGCCCATGAAATTTAGGGAGAAAGCAGGTGCTATTATTAAAGCTTTTCAATTTGATAGCTTATTTCTTTATTGGAAGCCCTATACCATTAATGTATCCGAAGCAGAAAAAAAAATCAGGTTTTATATAGCATATTTGAAGCAAAATTAAAATACATGGAGGCCAATACTTCACAATTTGTTAGACCCAAGTCATCAACCACCTGAATTTTCTCTACATTCACTTTTTTATGTGGTTTATGGCTAGGGGTTTAAATGTATTCAGTGGGATAAATAGGGATATGTGGATTTATTCTACTCATTCCCAAACAGAATTTGGTTTGCTTTTTTTGTGTCTTAAAATTATGGACTTTTATTTGCTTAGAGATATCTGTGTCTAATTATATACTCTTTTAAACCTTTGATTGATCTTATTTTTAACATAAAATTCAGTTCTTGTAAAATACTGTTTTTAACTACGGTAATGACTTGTGTCAGTTTTCCTATTTCATTCATCACTTCTGCATATTTTTGTCCTTAAAACTATATCAGAATTATATTTTCTATATATTATACAAATTATGTATAATTATACATAATAAAATATGTAATATAACAAAAGTATTATATTAAAACTTTACTATTTAATTCCTTCACTTTTGAGTATAATTTACTTTCTATTTATTAAGCTGTAATGTAATCATAACTTCAAAATGATCTCATTGCATGATTATATTTAACAAATGACTTTAGAAAGCAGACAAGCAGATAACACCCTTTTTACACATAGGATTGATGGGATGCTTTTCATCTTCTCTGCTGATTCCATAAGTCATTGGCTCTTGTTCTTTTCATTGTGAGATCATAACAAGATCTCAACCTGTGAACTCTAGTTGTGTGCCAGCTAATGGATTACATGACCCTTGTGCTGTGGAATCACTTCAAGTTTTGTTCTGCTTTATCTTCTAGCAAGGCATCGTAAATAATAGGCCTGTGAGTCTAGGTATTATGGTTTCCTGAGAGTCTTGACTGGGGACTGTCTCCACTAGATGCAGTACACAAAGAATATACTTTTGTCGAGGTAACTTGAGAAAACTCTCTGAATGCCATGGCAAGTTTGGTATTGTATAGACCTAGAATAGAAATGGAAATCACACAGCAGATTGTGTTTCTCTCTTTTCTTTAGAACTAGGAAGGTAGGGACAATAAAGGAGTGACCTGCTGCCCAACTATGCTTCAATGCCTTCCTTATTTGTAACTTCCTACTCTAGATTTACGTTATTTAAATTTTCTACTTGAAATTATTATCCTGGCTTTTCATTTTTTAAATATCTTGACTACTTTATTATAAATATGTTGATTCTTTCTAGATAAAAGGTATTACAGAAACAATTTGATTATAAATAAACAATTCTGTAAGTAATTTTGCTCTCCTGTAAATGTGAAAGGTTTTCATAAATGATAATTGTTGTCTTGGCAACTAGTTTAGACAGAACTTATGAATAAAGACATGTCCTTGCCCTAAATCATCCGAGAAAGTAATCATGGTCCTAGCCTCTACCTCCCATTCTCCATTCATGAAATAATCTTTACCTATTGGTGGCATCCACTTCACAGTCTTACCGTTCTCCTGTCTGCAGTGACTGTTGTGTTCATTTTGCAAAGTGATACTTACTTATCTGTCAGCAACCTGTAGTCTGCCACTTTAGTGCACAGATCAAGGATTTGATCCAGTATTTCTGCACATATACCATAGTGCTTCTCAAAGCGTGCTTGAGCTCTTTCCACAGCGATCTTCTCATGGGCTTCTTTTTCCCTCAGGGTTTGTTCTGCGAAATCAATCTTGGCTTGTTTGGCGAGAGCCTAAGAGGGCAAACATGAACTCTAAGTAACTATTATTATGCAATTATTCATACGAAGGTAATGTCATAATACAAAAAGTAATCTTTAAGTAGAATGAAACCTCTTTTACATCAGGGTTTAACTGATCAAGAGTCAGTTTTCACTCCTTAACACACAACATGTACTAAGCAGAGGCAGTGTCTGTTAAACTCCATGCTTAGCTCATCATCAAAACAGACTTCTGAGGAAAGTGGTGTGGATGGGAAAATATCAGTGTCATAAGAATAAATTGGATCTTTGGCTTTCCTGAAGGGGTTTCAATTACAACATCTGCTAAGAGCCAAATGTCACAGAGAAACGGTTAGTCTGGGTCAGCTGGCCCTTACACATCTGTGACCAGGCTCCTCCTCACCAGGAACACATGCTTTGACGACTGTACTCCACTTTTCAGTATTAACTTACTGACTGGCTAAATATGAGGTAATTAGATTTTAGTGCCTTGAGATAACAGGCTTGACACATTGTAAGTGTGGTTATGTCCTTGCTCCTTTAGTCTTTATAAATTTATAACATTCATCTGTAGAAACATGTATGTCCATAAAAAGCAGTTAAATATTTAAACACCTTATCACCTACTTTATTTGTATGACGGCAATCATTTTGCTTAAATCATTCTTTACATAAAACACTAGCTAGCCAAGCTGAAGGCAACATAATGCTTAGTTGGAGAGATTCAAATGATCAAGTGCTGCCTTGAGGAAACGTTACCAGCTGCTCCAGCCATCAGATCAGGTGCTAAGCTGCCTCACTAAGAGGATCCAACTCCTGTGATTTAATTCAGCCAGTAGAAAATAGAAATAAATGTGGGTTTCAGGGGAACTGCCTACAAATTCTAGCCCCAGCTTGTACACAGAATTTAAGTTCAAGTTATTTGAGAACTCCAACAAATAATTTATCCCCCTTATGTCTCAATTTCTTCAAAGGAGGGCTACTAATAATTTTAGTATAGTCAGAAAAATTAGCTGATCCATTTCACCTGAAAGAGTAGGTTCTTTTCACAACACTGCTGATAAGATTAATGATAATAGATTGCTGTGGAAATCAATCATTTTTTTTACTGTTCTTATTTCACATATTTAATTTCATTGGCATGGATAACATTTAAGATCGATCCAGCATATTTGGTAGATTCAGGAATGACACTAGAATTTTTCATTGCTGCCTTGTTTCAGAGGCCCTGTGCCCATGTAGAGCAAATACAAGTGAGACAAGGAGCTTTATGTTATGTTCGTAGATATCAGGAAGATCTCAGATGAGAAAGGAACTTGACATGGATGAGAATTTACAATGACAATAACATTAAAATAGATGGTGATGGTGGTCCTCCATAGGAACCAAAACATTAGAAAGAAATGACAGAATCTCCCTATCAGTAACAGAACAGCTTCCATTTGGGGCTGACATCTGACTTCCTCATCCTCCTCCATGTTTTCCTCCCTCCCTCCTTTCCTGTCTTCCTCTCTCTTATCTTGGCTTCCTCCTTGCCTCACTTCTTTTCCATTCACCTATTTTGTCTCCCTGGTCCACTTTTCCTCTGCCATTCACTCTGTGCTAGACTCACCAACTCTCCTATCTCCGCCCATCAGTGTATGTAGCATCCCTAAAGGAAGACAGAGGAAATATAAAAGGAGGCTGCAGGTGTAATAATCCTTCATAGTGTTGAGCTTGGGCTATGGAGGCCTAAAGGAAGGCTCTGCTCTCGACAATTTATGTGACTGTCCAACTTTTGACTTCTCTTTCCATATGTGTCAACCTTAGATTCAGATACTACTCATGTGAATGTTTTTGCAAGAATTATATTTGCATGCAATGAGCATGGTGCAAAGGTGATTAGAAGCAAGTGCTCAAAAGGTTGCCATTTATTATCGTTCATAACAGTAGGTGGCACTAAAATTTAAAATCAAGAGCTACGGGTTTAGATGAAATGTGCTTTATCATGGAGCAGTGCAGAAGGAAGCAGCAAGCTGGTGAGCTGAGTACCGGTGCCTTTTTCGCTGAAAGCCCTTCTCTACTGTCCAGACAGGATGTGTAATGACATGGCAGTAGTATAAGCCACCTGAAATGCCATCAAGTTTGACAAACTGATGAAATAAACTTGAGTTCCCCAATGAGAAATAGACAAAAGTCAAAGTAATACCTGGATAAAAAGTCTATTTTTGTTATGAGAAGCCATACCCATAAAGTGCAAAAGAAAGAGGATGTAGTAAATTAGAAACAGATTCGATATTTTGATTTTCAAGTTTCCACATAATACCCCAGTAGCAAAGAACATACCCAGGAGACAGATGTTGGCTTCTGGGCAGTGTTCTCGTTGACAATAACTTAGAGAATCTCCTGCCTCTCCACAGAAAATTAGTTTAGAGGAAGGAACAGTACAATATAGGGTTCAGAAACACAAAAAGCAATGAATTGTTTATTTAAAACTAATTTTCTTACTGAAAAAAGCCTCTTAAAAGCTCTCTTTCTGCCTCAGCATTATCACTGAAATTGTCCATACCAGTGTCCACACTAGTAACTCTCTCAGACTTTAGAGATGAGGACTTCCCTTGGGTATCTGAGGTAAAAACCACAGTGATTCAAACATATGACCCTAGAGAGTCAGCCCTGGCCTTGTGTCAACAACGTATTAGAAAAAAAAAAAAAGGAGAAATAGATGCATTTTGGATACTCAAGGAAAATACAGATGAAGCAAGTACTCCAAACTGACCACCAAGATCAGAGCACACACCATCAGTAACAGGCAGGCCTCGGAGAATATTAAGACAGTTTTTGTAGCGCTTCTCGAGGAATCATTTGGAATTAAAACTTCAAAAGCATGCAAAATGACTAGCGACACCTAGAGACAAGTGACCATGGGACTGGTGGCAAGCATGTGGTGCTTAGCATCATGTCAGGGGGGTGGGTGTGCAGTATGTGGGGGCTGCCTCCTCCCATGTCTGTTATAAGCTGACGGCGAAGTATGATTTTCAATGAAAATTTTATTTACCGCTTCTCGATCAAGAGCATCCTGGAAATCCTTTAGTCGTCTTTCTTCATATTGTTTCTCCCTGAAAATTCGATTTTGCCACAGAACTTCCTTCTCGTGCCGGACATGCATGAGCTGCACCGCAATCCTGCGCTCCTGCTGGGACTGCCGCATCAGCCGGTGGATCAACTGTTCTTCCCGATAGGCCTCCTGCGAACACCAGCACAGGGGCCAAAGATTTGTCAAAGGCAAGCCCAGATTAGCCATCGGGCTCAGAAGTCAGTGTGCAAATAGTGTGAAAGGCGTGACAGCCGTCTAAGTCAACTTCTGCCCTGTAGTTTAAATTTGAACACATGCACACACAGATACACACATGCACATATGCACCCGTGCATGCACACACACATACCTGCACATGAATGCGCACACAAGAAAGAATTGCAATAGAGTCGATTTAACCACTGAAGTATGATACTAGGTCTTGCCAGAAACATTATGGTATTGAAATTTACAACTGCTTCAAGTAAGTTGTTCGTTCCTTTAAAATCTAATAAACAACAACTCATGCGAGCTTTCAAAGTTTTCTCAACAAGTAAAGTAATTCTCAACTAATAATTATATTTTCAGAAGTTTGGAAATTGCGTGTATGCACTTTAATACAACAACCCCAAAGACCTTAAAAGGCCCTAGAGGTTTGGCCTCTAAAATCTTGTAATAGTCATTGTATACATGACCTGATCTACTAGAAAAGAAAAGACTTTAAGAGAATGTACTTATCTCCCAAGCAGGACTCACCAGGTTTTGGGGCTCAGACAGCACCAATCAGTCATCAGCTGATGCCTTAACAGCCCAGCCAAGAGGAACAGAAGAATACAGTTGAGCCCAGGCCCTGGTACCCACTGGACTGTGGTATAGTGTAGAACAGACAAACCACAGTTTCAAATGTAGTTATTTAAATGTGAAGCTGCTTCGTTGTTCTAAGCGAATTCTGTAAGATTAGACTCTGTTTACACAGCAAGATAATTTAGCTCTCAAAATGTACTGTGGTTAGCCAACCCTTATAAGGAACACCATGGTCTGGTGAGTCAAGTTTGGAATAATACTGAGATTAAACTGAGAAAAAGAGAGGAAGGGAATATTGTGGGATGGCTGCATCAAGGCTATGCATGTTAAGTTTCAGTTTAAAGACCTATAAGGACCTTCACATAAAAGTTAAATGGAAAAGATTTTGTTGCTCTTGTTCTATAAGGAAGTAGTTCAAATTTCAGAAATAAATGGTTTACTAAAAGTTTAGTGAAATGTAAGATATTTTTCATATAAACTAAGATGCATGGCAGTCCCTAGAACATTGATGTATTATTATCCTGTATTTGGAGTGAATAAATGAAGACAATAAGATTCACTTCTATCTTAATAATATTTACACATTTGGGCAGATTTCAGAGGATATGTAATCTAGAATTGCCTCCATTTGATTATAGGCTTCCCACTTCCCCCACGAGTTTTCTTAGGTAACAATCAACCAGTTTTCCCTTGACTGCCATGGAGGAAGGGCCACTGTACTACTTATGAATAACTTAAGTGCCTAAGGGTCTACAGCCACTCATGAGGAAGGAGCGTACTTTAAAAATTTATAAGTAAGTGCTTTGCTCTTCTGATGTGAGGATCTACCTACAACATCTTCTTTAGAGCGGCAGACAACATGCATATGAAATATGTATTTGTATAAATACAAGGCCACATATTCTCAAGTGCTCAGCACTTTTAATGGAGAAGGAACATGAACTGCCTCACCTCCTGTGCTTCATGGGCTATTAACTGGTCCATCAACAACCTCCGCCGTCTTTTCTCTCTTTGCTCACGTGCAAAAGCATCTTCTTCTAGGCGTTTCTGGATCTTTTTAATGTAGTCATCATCGGAATAAGTGTTTAACAAATCGGTAGCTGTCTGGTCTGTTGTTTCTAGAGAAGTCTTAGATGCGCTAAAGGTAACAAATTTTTGTTAGATTTTAACAATGTAATTACAGGCCCCTTAACTGTGATAATGGAAGACTTCTGGAGAAAACTCCTTTTAGTTTGTTGTTAATCTACTGATACAAGCACTGGATAAATGCTGAAGCCTGTGGCTTATTTGTAGATTCCATTTGCTTTAGCTCAGACTTTAGCTCTATCTCTCTAAGGTCCTTAACACAGCTTTTTTTTTTTTTTTTTTCTTAAGCCCATCTCTTCTTTTCCCAATTCTTAACTTTTCAGTCTAATTAGAGATTCTGGTTTCCCTCCTGCATCTGTCTATTGTCCTCTTGCTTCTCTTACTGTAAGTCAACAATAGGCAAACTGTAGATAATTTAAATGTCAAAGAAGACACCTCAATGACAATAGACTAGACATAATCAATGTTAGTTTATTGAGAGTACAGTACCTGTATTGATGGCTCCACTCACTATTACTCTATTCTCATCTACAGTGGTGCAAGTTACTCTAAGTACTCCCAAATGTACTTATGACTTCTTAGGGCATTGGCCCAGCCTTTGTTAGGAACTTTAACACTTCAAAGTTGACCCACTTATCATGACTCAGCATGGGTCTGATCTGGCATCAGCACAGGTCTTCCCAAAACATGAACACTTTAAGTTTATTGAAACAAATGGTTCCTTAGCATTAAGTTTATAGTCATTTAAAAGTTATCATTAAAAGTAAAAGAAGCATATTATGTGCATGGAAATTGAATCATCAACTCTCATCTGCGCATGTCTTTAAAAAGCCATTAGAATGCTTCAGTATAGCTGCATAAGATATAGGATAATGTTGCTTGACAAGGATAATAAGTTTATATTATGAATCATCACTTTGTATGTTATCACCAACACAGAAAAAATAATTTATTTAGAAAAAACAAGGGCATGTTACCAAAGAGTTTTATGACTAAAGAGTCATTCATTTTCATACAGTCAGAATTACTACTGCAAGAGCATGTTTAGTCTGAGATTAATACACATTTATTATGTAGGCCCTATCAGATTCTAGATCAAAGTTTGTAGGTTTGCTGCTCCAAGCTAAATTGTGGACCCATAGGAAAAGTATTCTTTTCTCGCTCTTTGTACAAACAGTGCTAAATTCCAAAACTATGCAGAGAATCACATGCAGGTAAAAGACACTACGATTCTGATTATTTTACCCACAGGAGGTTCAGACATGGTTGTATTTTGTCCTGAGAGGAGCTAGGATAAACTGTTTCAGAACAGTGGCCAGAGGCAGAGCTGACCTTTGCTTATTAAGAGGTAATAGATTCAAAGCCCATCATGGTGGCTCAGGTCTGTAATCTGTGTTTGGGAGGGAAAGGCAGGTGAATTTCTGTGAGCTCAAATTTATCATGACTAACATAGTAAGTTACACGCCTCCAGGACTACATAGTGAGACCCCACCTACAAAAATAAATAAAAACTGCCTTTGGGCCAGTTTCAAAAACATTTGTTTTAAAGTTAGTACGATTACGGGGAGAGAAAAGTGAGAAGGGGAGGATTGGGAGAACTTGGGGAAACAGGAAGATTGGGATAAAGGAAGGTTGGATAGGGGAGCAGGGAAGCACATATCTTAGTTAAGGGAGCCACCTTAGGGTTGGCAAGAGACTTGAACCTAGAGTG